GTCCAGGATCTCTGTACCATCTACACCGGCTATCCAGAAGTAATCGGCGAGGGGGGCGCCTTCGGAGGTGCTTGACGACGATGGCATTGTGGATAGAGTCGCGGCGGACTGTAGCGGGTTAATACCTTAATTGTCACCACATGGGATCGCAGTATTTCCAGGAGAAGGAATGCGGAGTGGAATTGAGCGCATGTAGTTTTCGGGAGGGGGAAGCTGATAAAAATGGGGGAGAACGGGAGGGAGGGGCAGTTCAGAGCGAAGATCAATTTTGGGGGCTTGATGGCCAAGCGTTGTATTGAAAAGGGAGTTCGATTATGATTATCTTTTTATTTGTGTATTCTACGTAATTATTCCTACCCAAATATTTTCCTGCCTTCTACAATGTTTCTATCTCTGCCATTATTATTTTTTTTTTTGCCCTTTCTTTTCTTTTTCCCCCTAGGATCACGGGTGGTTGCGTAGGCTGGTAATGTTACTAGAACCCGAGGACATTTAAATGTGCGCACATCTCTACTCCACTATATAAAATTGGCAAATGTTGCCCGTGTCAAGTCCAAATCTTTAACAAATCAAGCCAGTCAAGGGCCCGGGCCATTCAGAGCCCTAGGATCCATGCACAAGAGTCTTGACACCGTAGCGACCTGCAGGTATGTGCATGGTGGCTAGACTCTAAAGGGAATCCAGACTTCTGGGGTGTACCCATAATACAGATTCATTATACATGTCTATATCAACTGCCGTTATGTGCTATTCCCCTATCTCGATCCATGTTACCATATATAGATGATTTATAATGTCCTACAAAGAAATCAAGAAATAACCTTGGAACCTTGGAAATATCCCCAGGGGTTAGAGGCCCATGATCCATGGTTGAGCATCAGATGCAAGCGGGTCTTGGCTGATCCTTTTCTTAACGAGGTTCGTCAACTGCTAGTACTCCGTACCATGTATGTTGTAATGGGATTGTTTATTTTCAGTTGAGACATGGCGTTAAGAGGTCTTTCTATTTAGGGGACTTTAGGGGTCCTTAGGTACAACGCCAAAATGTCATTCCTTTTTATATCTGACTTTTAGGAACTACCTAGGCATTTTCAGGGGTTAAGACTATCGGGAACTGCCGACCTCGGGAGGGGAGGTGTAGGGTTTGTAGGCTTTTACTTTACCGTTTAGGTCCCTCGTGGGAATCTTGCTTTTTGGATTGCGGAGATGCTTAACGGCTTTTCCTTTTCCTTTCCTCATCACAGCAATGTACCTAGGTATATTCTCCACCGGTGCCCTTTCTTCTGATCCTACATGGAAGTGTTTGTGCATGACACACTAGTTTATGTACTTTGGTACATAGGATTTCAACCCAGGGGTCACCAAGTTGGGTGGCTTGTCCCGGGGAGATGATCAATACTACAGTTGGACAATGTGGAGCACCGAGGGGTGAAAGCACCACTTAAGTGTATCAATTTCCACGGTATAATAAAAAACAATTTGATAGTCTACATAGGTGAATCCCACGGTTCGTTCCAGTGTTAGTATTCCTTTGGATCCGCCAAGGATGTCTATATTATCTACCTACATACAAGTAGGTACTATATCTCTGACTACTATGTATGTACTGGACAAACATACACGTGGAACTCCAAACTCCAATATGCTTACTCCATACAAGATACAGAGTAAAGTTATCGAAATACATATCTATTTAATGCCCTAAACACGCCTGATGCCCGCCTTACGGGGCACAGGGGCTCCCCTGCACAGATAGCCCTTTTGGACTGATCGCATCCCAGGATTTTGGGCAAGGTTATTCCAACCATCTCCTCGTCAATATACATTAGTACTTGCATATACTCAATGCAGTCAACAGTGTGTACGACCCAAACGTAGAAGAGAAGAGGCGGTGGAGTAGATCGACAGAGAGCACGGAGTAGCCTAAACTCCGTATATTCACAAAAAGAAAAAAGAGAAAAATCAAGTATAGATAACAGTACGGGAGCAAAACTAAAATAGACTCTGTGCGAGACATAGATGGGCAGATAATGATCTTTAAGATTGGGCCATGGGAACACTTGGACTCCATTGATCAGCCAGCCCTGGAGAGTCTAGACTCTTCCATTGTATTACTCTTATAACATCGAATCTGGGCTCTAAGAGACTTTACATGTATACATACCCGAAATATTATTTCTATGTGACATCCCGTAGAATACGTGGCCTTGGGCCGAGGATGAATCCCCGTTTTTTTGTTTTTATTTTGTTTTGTGCAAGACCTATAGGGAGGGGAGCAGCAAATGCGCGGCCAAAGTGTGCAAATGTACAGCCCCGGAGCTTCCTTGCCGAGAGACAACTGCCGTGCGACAAAATTTAAGCGTGGGCTGCATAGCAAGGCTGGTTTCGCTCCGTGCTAGTGTCGCCATGGAGCTCAGTAATGCATCGGACTCTATTCTAGAGCCTCGAATAGTCCTCCGTTAGTCCCACATAGATTGTGTGGGTATATCCAGAGTCCAATATATTACACTATACATCCCCCCAGTTTAGGACGCTGCTGGCAATGCCAATGGTAATATTGTGTAAGTGGGCCATTGGAAATGTGTACAAACCGCCCTTGCGGCGCCCTCCATGCAACCCGGCGGCCGGATGCACTAATACAAATCGGCGTCCCTATCGGGATACAGTAGCGGAAACGACCCGGTGGGTTCGTTGCACACCGCGTTTCAGGTGCGTTTCCGGCTCATCAGGTTTCCCGTGGTCAGGAACCCCTTGTCCCCCATAGCACCGCGCCATTCAATCGACAACTGACCCAGCGTGGCACGACCGTCCCGTCGGAGGTCCTTCTGGAGAGTTTCAAGTCCCTCGTTCTGGCCCTCTTCTTGTTCCACCAAGAATGCTACTTGTAGGACATCCCGTGGATTGAGTGTAGGTAGTGCCCGGGGTGACATGTCTGGGTTCATCATGTCCCAATTTAGCGATTTTGATTGGAACGGTGGCTTGGGATTTAGTTTCGTTTGCTGTCCATCCCCCGACGTTAGCCAAGTTGTTGAGCATTCCGGTTGACGGCACAGCCGCACTTCGCTGTGAAAAATCCACCGATTCGCTAGGGATTAATAGAGAATTCATACCTTGACTACCACCGCGCCTTCGCCCACGTTTTCCAGTTGTGCCTCCAGGGCAAACCGGAGTAACCTCGTTTTCCCGTACGGACCGAGTGACTTATTATCTACCTCGAGCGGCGGAAGTTCGGATGCCTTGGTCCGAACGCTCAAACAGGGCTGTGCCACAAACTGGTATAACTTGCGGAAAGTCCTGACCCGGCCACTAGCTGCCTGCGAGTCTGAGCCGATCTTTGTCTCTGTATAGCTGACACTGACAGCTAGTATATGGTTTCCTTCTTCCTTCAAATCAAACCGTACGATCTTTTGTAATGACTCGCCGATCTTGAGGCCGTCTGTTGATGCAGAGTCGCTGGGTGGCTCCAGCTCCAGTGCCGCGACTGACGAAGGTGTTTGCATTTCCGCTACTATGCGCACCGACGTGAGTAGTCTCTCATTGTCATCATCATTGATTTCATTGTTCGCGCTGAGTGTGCATCCGAAGGTCTCTCCGACATAGACCGATCCGAAGGAGGGAGGTAGAGTAAGCTATTGCCATTAGTGAACAGTTTTCTTGAGGTGCGCAGTCACTTCTCACAAGGGGTGTTAAAATAAATTGATCATCGGAATCACTAAACGGATAGCTTAGTGAGGCTTTCGTGGAGATTTTGGTTTTAGACGTCGGGAGGGGATGTTGATAAGAAAGTGACGGCCGCGCAAGGCTGTGTATTGATAGTCAGGAGCTGCCATAAATGGGATGGATATGGATCGTTCGAATTACCGCAACACTAGTCGATTCATAATTAGCTTGCTAGTCCAACTACTGGTTGAGTTGTATTCACATACCTTTGAGAGAGACCGCATGTGGTTCCTTCGGGGCATCAGCGCCCGACAGAGCCCGTGGACGAGACATGGAGAACAAGTTCTAATAACAGCTCCAGAGGAGGAAATGGAGGGGCAAAGAATTAGCTGCAATGCTGGGCGTTGCAGTATAGCGTCATCTTGTCGATGAAGAGGGACAGTCCACTTCTCCACGAGCTGATAGCGATAGGGAAGCTGCCCCAAACAAACAGTGCAAACACCCGCTCTTTCCCAAAGAGTGTACCTGCGACTTGAAAGCTTCAAACTGGACCGCATGGATACGAACAGTCGTAAAACATTCAATCTCTTTATCTACATATATGTACACATATACTGCTTCTGGCTTGTATAATAGCTTTCTGGGATATCAAACATCTGCTAACTAATGGGGAAGGAACTTGGGTTATTTAGGGCTGAGTAAATACATACATCACAACCTTAGAAGCTTCGTACATGGTATATGTTGCTACCCTCTACAAACTCTTCTGTCTACTATCATGCCCCGTACAGACCACTGTGGTCGAAGTGAATCCACAATAGTGACAAACCCAAGCGAAAGCGGGCACCACATCTAGAACAAACATGACTGAGAACAAAGGCCTGTCATATCTTTCTAAGTCTCCATCCAAAGTCACTGACACTTCACGTGCTTGTCCTCCACTCTAGATCTTGCTTCCTGTAATACATACATGTACCAACACATCCTCTTTCCATGGCCCCCTTTCTTTCCTAGAATCATATCTTCATGTACTCTTATGAAGTACACATGTCCCGGAGTTACTGTCAATCTACAAGTGATGGAACCTTCCTCTTCTCCCGGGTTGCCATTAAGCCCTGATGCTTCTAATCACAGAGCCGAGCCCACCGTTGGGCCTGTTAGTCCTAGTAACAAGCCTAGGGCTGAGAACCCAATCCAAGTTGCAGAGCGCACTCCGCCTAGTGCCTTCCACGCACTCAGGTCTAAAAGGCGCACTCTTCCATGGCTAGATTCACCCCAAGAAGGGTTCTTAAAAAGAATCTCACGCACTGAGAGCCAAATGCGAGTAAATATTGCCGACTATGGCATACATCGATTGGCTAATTAGCGTCGCGTTTAGTATGTATATGATCAGACACCAGATCGGCGGTACGAAGCATATTCCGCAAATCTCATTTGAAGTTGTTGGGTCTACTGGCAATATCTACGAAACGGTTATCGGTAAAGTCCCTACCTGTAACTGTCCGGATGTCATATTCCGGAAGACGCAGTGCAAGCACATCTGCTTTGGTAAGTCTCAAGCCCAGCCCGGGCTCAGCAGATACATACCTACTCTGTTCTTTACTAATAAGCTGTCCAGTTCTATCTGCGATGAATGTCCCTAGGCAGCTGATGTACCAGCGGTCATTTTTGCCATCCGTGAGTCCTTGCAGACCCCAGTCAAGCATCACTATGTCTAGACATATCCCTGACCTAATTGTGCATTGATCAGGAGCTACGCGAGATGCTTGCTGTATTATCCTTGAAACGGACCCTGGACACCACTACCCTTACTTCCGCCGGCAAAAGGGGGCCTATCGAGGACGAATGCCCAATCTGTTTCCATGATTTCGAGACAGACAAGAAAACTACGTGGTGTCAGTCATGCGGCAGCAACTTTCACAAGGCTTGCTTTAAGAAGTGGGAGGCAACTATGGATGCGTCCCACACTGTCGTTCGTTGTCTCTACTGGTAAGTGATGGCAACTTGTCCGAGCCCAAATAAGAGTTTGAAACTCAACAGATCTCCGCCTATAGCAACGCCCCGTGGCAGGGCGATGAACGTGTAATGCCCAATCTCAACCGAGAGGTCGTCCGAACCAAGGATGGTAACCGAGGCGGATATGTAAATGTGGGCGACAAATAGTCCCTGGATGCCATGGCTCGATCAGTATTTATTTGCCTCTAGACTTTATCCCACATCTTGACCTCTGGATCCCCAGAGGAACTCCTACTAACGATTTGCTTCTTGGACTGAATTGGGCGACTCATCTTCAACTGCTAATCCTATGCCTGCCAAGTGCCAAATACCAAAGCCAAGGCGCGGTGAAGATGTGGGCGATGGTCACGAAACTGAGATTGTCACCTCTGTAGGGATGTAAGGTCGAGGAACGGTTTCTTTACGGAACTGTTTGTTGTTGTGGTCTCTTGTTATCAATTGCCTTTTACTTCGAGCTGGTTTGTCTTTGGGAAACGGTATGGGGAACAGTTTGTTCTAAGATGGGGTGATCTGTCTTATGCTCAATACGCCAAATGAATTCGATGCCAATTTTACAATCTCCAATGTTACATTCAATTGTGACTATACTGGGTCGAGACATCTCACAAACTTCACTCTTACTGGGAACTGGAAAAGTCAAGTATGATCAAAAAACGAAAAAAAGGCAAGATGGTCCATTCATCCTAAGTCCGGGTATCACGTCAAGCCAAAACGGCCCAAGAAACAAAAAAGCACAAGCTTCTCAACTCCTCAAAACCCAAGAACACCAAAGAGATTCTTCTATGTATCTGTTCGAAGCCGCTCACCCAGTCGAACAGTAGCGACACTAACGCCTTCCTCGCCAGTCATCCACGACGGCATACGCTCAGGGTCAACGATGCCTAGCTCAGCGAGTTTGCGAATCCCGCCGATGACATCGGAGCCGGTGAAAGTGAGTGAAATGGCAGGTAGCGTGGACATAGAATCATCGTCATCATCATATTGTCCATCACTAGAGCCTGGTTTGTCGAGGAGGCGGATATCAAGTCGGTCCAGCGGTGCCGGGGCGAGTGATGACCCCAATGTCCCGAATCGGGAGTGGATGGCGAGACGGCGTTTCTTTGAATCCGGAGAGAGGGGGGCTGTATCAATAGCGCTGGATCTTCGTTTGTTCACTGACCCATTTGTGTTTTCTTTGCCTTCTGTTGGGCTGGAATGACTCGCTCGGATATGCTCTTCAGGTGAGACTGTATTAGAGGGTCGAGGGTCCAACGGACTTCCTTCAATGGCTGCGTCTGCAAAGATGCTGAAGGCGCCGGTTGATGCCGTTGATCTTCCAGGTCCGCGGAGGGCTAGGAGTGTGGGCAGATTCTTTGCTGCCAGGGATGTCGCCTGCAGAGAGAATCGTTCTTGTGGGCGAGATAGAGCTTTCGGGATGGAATCGCGCACCAGGCGCTGAAGAGTTCGAGTATCAGTAGCCAAAGAGCTTGTCGAAGGAGCAGATTTTGGTCCGGTGGATGCTGCTATGGAAGTGTAGACGTAAGGACAACTATCCGGGAAAGCGACATAGATGACTCGGGACGAGTCAGTAAAGATCTCGGCCGCCCGTCTAGGGGATTGATATGGCGAGTCGACGACAAAAATACGTAGGAATGTCAGCGGCAGTGTAGCCGAGTGGGCGAGGTGGTAGTGAGCCTTGACCAATGGGGAGATTTCTCGTTGGAGGCTTTGCACAAATGTTGCCGCTTGCATGCGCGGTACAGAACCGGACCAGTCAGTGGGTGGCGGACTTTTGGAGTTCTTGCGCTTCGTATCAATACGGCTGAGTTCGAGTGCGGTCCATCGAAGGCTGGCGGGGTGGTCGTCCATATAGCGGAGGTCTGCCATGGCCAGCTGGCGCAGTGTGATTCCATGTCGCCAATCGCCTTCTAGGATTCGTTCAAGAACCTCGCGTTTTGCACCCTTTCGATCCTGCAAATCTTCATATACCTGGCGAACTTCTTCGATTGTCTTCCCCGCGGGGTAGGGAAGGGCTTGGTCATCGTCGGGGCCATCTTCTCCGTCGGTCTGTAGGTATGGTGGGAATGAGGCGATGTTGCGATCATCAAGCCACGTCAATGCAAGGTCCAGTAGTGCTTGTCTGGATAGCTTTCCAAGGGATTTTGTGAGGGACGGAGTCGATGAGGGGACGCGGAGGTTATTTGGAAGGCTGGCTGCTGTAGGGGCGCGCACAGTTTGAGGACGCGCCATAGCCGTAGTTGACAAGGTATTGGCACAACACCTGGCTATGTTCGATATCGTCTCACATCAATGGCAGATGCATGCCTCTAGATCCATATCTCAATCTGTTCCCGTGCTTGTCCAAGTTCTTCTGTCCAAATTCCAAAATCGACCATCAACAAACATGCACGTGCCGATAAGCCGATAAGGATTGAGATCGAACTGATTATGTCACCTGAGCGTTAATCCAACCTTGGAAGGTTATCCGGAAGAACATGTTGGGAATCATCTGACCTTGGAAGGCATTAGTTTTATGAACTGTGTGGTTCCGATTCGTCCAACACCCATTGGCCTATCATATGTGATGTGTACAATGTGCATCGTTGTATGGTGCATATGAGTGCACAAGGGGACTGTAGACCGAGGCCTGCTGCGGAATGTGGGTCACCAATTAGCCTTTTCCCGAAGCCCATTGGGGACTTGGAATGTGTGAAAGTTGCACTCTGTATATGGTCAACTTTTGTCTTAAGCGAATATTGAGTCCTTGAATTTCCCGAGGTCTAAACTTCTTTCTCGGTCCCGGGAAGGATCATATACACCCTTCTTCTCCTGGAACTGTGAATCACCTCCTTCAGCATGGAGGCGAACGAACCACGCAAAAATGTTGCCGTAATTGGTACGGGGATGGCCGGGTTAGTGGTCGCGTACATGCTCAGGAACGATCCTCGGCGCAGATTCGAAGTTGAAGTATTCGAAAAGGTGAGAAAATTCACCCGCGACATCATACGCGCGGACTAAAGCTAATCCCAACAAAAACACACAGCAAGACAAACTTTCGCTCGATTCCGCGTCATACAATCTCGCGAACCAAAATGACGGAAGCGCGAAGCCCGAACGTCTCGATCTTCCCATGCGCACATTCGCCGACGGATACTACGAAAGCCTCAAGCGAATGTACGATTACTTCGGCATCCCATACGACTCGCTACGGTTTATTTACTCCCTGTCGATACTGCCGGACAATGCCACGAGACAAACGTCTCCATACTATATGCATTCCTCAAATAACCACCAATTACCTCCCCTGCGTCCGCAGGGCTTATCATGGACCGGGTGGCTGATCGAGGTGTGCTACCTGGCAATATGCTATTATTGGTTCAAGGCCTGCTGCTTCTTTGTAGCGCCCAAAACGGTAGAGTCGTCGGGTACGGAGGAATCTCTGCGTCAATATGTGAAAAGGATTATGTTGCCAAATTACTACGTGAAACACTACTTTCTGCCGGTCTTTGCGAGCGTTGCGACTTGCTCACATGACGCGCTGATGGATTTCCCGGCTCTTGATCTGGTTGGTTATGGAAGACGAACCTTCCGTAAGAAACACTACACTGTTCTTGGTGGAGTTCAGCAGGTCGAGAAAAAGCTGTCCGAAGACTTGACATATAAACTTGGCGTGAAGGTCACGGCGGTCGAGAATATCGGCACAAAAGTTCAAGTGAGCTGGACAGATACCCATGATGGCCAGAGCAGCTCACAGCTATTTGACCATGTCGTTCTGGCCGTGACGCCTGACGTGGTGGGGGCGATTTTCCAGCCTCTGCGAAGCGCAATGAACGCAGTTCCCACAACGACCGTTCAATCCGTTGTGCACCGCGACTTTTCCCGGATCCAGGATTCTAGCAGGTGTCTCTGGGCGCAAGTATCGTTGAACCACGGCGAATCAGCACCGCACCCACTCCACATGTGCTCAAATGCTGCGGCGACTGAGACGGTCCATGAACATCCGTCATCCGCTCTTATTACGACTTATCCCATTGCCCCGATTGACTCCGGGAAGGTCTTGTACACTGCCACCTTCACTCGTGTTCTGCGATCGTGCACCAGCAGACAGATCCTCAACCAAATTTTCAGCCAGCAGAAGACTGGAGGTGATAAGAGCCAGCTTTGGCGGAACGGGGATGGAAATGTCTGGCTTGTTGGTGGTTGGTGCTGGGACGGGATGGTACTACTTGAGGGGTGTCTCTCTTCCGCGACCAGAGTGGCAAACGCCCTTGATGTCGAGGTGCCTTGGATGAAAGAATCCTCTTTATAATGACCTGCCAAGGACATAACGAGACTTTCGTGTACATGTCATTTGCATTTATAAAGTTAATATACCTGGGACGCATTGTACATAGCATATACCGCATCATGATCATCTAACTTTTGCCACGATATACTAAGCTGCTACTGTCTGTGGTCTGCAGGCCATTTATTTAGGTCCCTTTTCTCGCTGTTTCCACCTCGAACTCCCCACAAGGTTCAGCCTAGAATTCTATACACACCAGGTGCGCAATAATAATAGTACATGGTAATGGACACTGTTTCCCCCCAGTGAGAACGCCGAATCGTGCGAGCCTAGCGCATTACTTACACATATGGGATCACCGAGATGATTGGGATAATGGGGGACAGGTATTCAATGGTCCACAGCATCCAGGCAGAGGACCACTATTGATACACGTGTAGCCGTCCGGGCACTTGTTCTTTGGGTTAGTCCAAAGGCACAGTAGGAAACTTACATATGTGTTCGACGGTCGACAGAAAGGCTGGCTCGGCTCGCAGGGCAACTGATG